TATCCCCCTCTTTATATATCCCCTTCTCTTTATATATATATATTCAAGAAATTGTAAAAATGTTCACAAATGAAAAGCATAAACCTTGAAATATTTGACAGTATTTCCCAGAGGACATTTATATTTTTAATTCCATTCTGTATTTTTCTTGTTTTGACTTCAGTCTTTTCGAAGAATTTTTCTTAAAAGTCGTAAAATAAATTAATTCCTATGCTAAAAGCTAAATAACACGCCAGCAGACAAACCGGCGAAGAGTTTTTAGATTTTTTATGCACTTCTTTAGCAAGTCAAATACATTATTTGTTCAAATTTGTTTCTTGTTTACTTATTTTAATTCTCATTTTTAACGTGATTATTTTCTTGACATAACGGAAAAGTGATGCAAAATCCCACGCCAAATAATTATAACTGGTCAATATATATATATATATATATATATATATATATATATATATATATATATATATATATATTGTGTGTGTATGTGTGTGTGAGAGAGAGTCTTTGTAAACGCGGATGTATAATCTATCTATCTAGATAAACACGAATATGATACTTAACCTTTTTCAAATGTTTGTGAACTTTTTTTATTCACTTTTAAATATATTTCATTTCTTCTGGAAATTCCTTGACAGCTCAAAGAAGTATCAACACTGATTTACACTGTATGATAAAATAGGAAAGATGAAATTACAGTTTTCTCTTATATTTTTCTTTTAACTTTAAAACAACTTTAGCAAGAAATTCAAATACAATTAATAACGGCAGAGTTGTAATGGCAATGATTATGCAGCAGAATCGTACATATCCGGAATAACTCATACCCTGTGTGCCTCATATCTGGAATCCCGTTTATCCGGACATGATTTTGATGTGTATATTTGAACTATTTGCTGGTGCTTATCTCACCCTAATGGCTTGTATTGGCACAAAAATTGATGGGAATAAAAGGAAAAGAACAACTTTGAAATTAACGCAAAAGTGAAACATTTAAACAGACTAGATGCTGGTGAAAGATCATTGTAAGTAATGGCCGATTTCAACATAAGAAATCAACATTGTATGATACAAATCTTTCAAAGAAACTATTTTCTAGTGTTCAAAATGTCACAATAAAAAAGGCAATAAAATCATGAGATAGTGATGAAACCTGGACTAAAATGGAAAAAGGTTGTCAGTTTTATGGAAAGAAAGCCAGCATTCAGCTATAAATAGTGCAACAACACACGCAGAGTTAAACAGTGTCTTTCCTTTAAAAAAAATCAAGAACAATAGCAAATTTAAATATAGGAAATGTTGAAACTGACTTTAGAAGAGAAATAATCATGTTGCTCCGGCGATTAATAAGTCCTCGTTGCATTATTTGTTTTGCATACTATTATATCATTAACATTATATAATTTACTTATTACTCCTTAAAATCAATTCGACATTAGCTTATTTTGTTTACTATGAAACACTGAATTGATATAAACCTTTTATAATTTTGAGGGAGGTATATATGTTAGATATATACCATACATGAAAACTATTGATTCAGTTCCATTTTTAGAAAAAAAAACAATCTAATATAAAATAAATAAACAATCAAATATAAATATTTTTTTCTTTTTTGCGCCGTGTCTTTTCAGGACGTAGGCGATAATAGCTCTCCACCTTCCCCTATTTGTTGTAGTTCTCAATAAGGTTCGTCCTTCTGCGACCTCCTCCAGACCACGTTCTGTCATCCACTTGCTTAAGCCCGCCAGGTATGTCTTCCGTTGCCTTCCCTTGTCTCTCCTTCCCTTGTCTCTCCTTCCCTTGTCTCTCCTTCCCTTGTCTCTCCTTCCCTCTATTAGACTTGTGAGTATCAGATTCTCCAGGCTCTTCTTTCTCATTACGTGTTCCAGAAACATTAGCTGCCTCTTCCTGATGTTATGTATATGTCTCCTCCTTGTTTGCATCTTCTCCAAGACCTCATTATTGCTCACATGCTTGATTCATGATATCCTCAGCATCCTTCTGTAGAACCATATCTCCGTCGCCTCGAATTTCTTCATTATCTTTGAGTAGACAATCTAATATTTGCTGTCGTAAGGAAGGACAAGTGTCATGTAAGACCTCGGTACTTTTTTCTTTGTTACCAAAGTAATCATCCTGTCTCGTAATACTCTACCCAGCTTTTGGAACGCGTCCTTGGCTATCCCGATACGTCTACGGATCTCAGTGTCGCACTTACCATACTCTGTAAAAACACTTCCCAGATATTTAAATTTCCGCATCTGCTTGATGTTAGTGTCCACAACCTGCATTTTGGGCTCATACTTTTACTGATGGCCATGCATTCTGTCTTCTTGTACTTTATGCTTAGTCCCTTTTTCTCGCTCTCCTTCGCTGCCTTCTGTAGGAAGTTTTGTAATTTCTTTTCCGTGTCTGCCATCAGTACTGTGTCATCTGTGGATCTCTCAGAATTGCCTCGCTGTATAGGTTGGATAGGTCAGGTGAAAAGACACATACATGCCTTACGCCCCTTTCTATTTTTGTATATTCTCTGAAGTTGTTCTCTAGGCTCATGTATACTGTTTGCTACCAATATAGGCTTTTGATTATTCTAATATCTTTCCGAAATATATCAAGGTTGCTGAGCAGTTCCAGAAGATCCTTGGCGTACATTGTCGAAGGCCTTAGCGTAGTCTATGAAACACAGGCACACGTCCTTCTGCATTTGTATTGCTCTTTCTGATAACATTCTGAGCATGAATATCGCGTTCCTTGTTCCGGTGACTTTAACGAACCCGCACTGTTCTTGTTCTATATCTGGCCTGATTCTGCTTTGCGCTCTATTCATCAAAATACGGATGATGAGTTTTGTTACTTAGCTCATTAGGCTGTTTGTTTGGTGGAATTCACATTCGTTTGCGCCTGGTTTCTTAGGCATTGCTATGAAAATAGAGCTGTTGAGATCTTCTGGTATATCCCCACTATGTGTTGTAGAACTCACTTATTATTTCTGTGCTCTTATTGATGAAAAATCATTTAAGGCTGTCAGCATTTCCGTTACAATTCCGTCTGGCCCTACCGCCTTGTTTCTGTTCAATTTGGCCAGTGCAGCTTCTAGTTTTCAGAATTTCCGGTCCCTCGGTAATTGTGTGTATTGCTGATTGTTCTTTTTTGTCTTGGAAGCGTTCTCCAATATATTCACTCAAGCGTTGAAGTATTTCTTCCTTCTCTAAAATGAGCGTTCCATCCATTGATTTTAAACAGCTTGTTGACGAGCATGTCTTCTGTCATCTTAGTTGCTTTATTTGTTTAAGCATATCTCCTTTGTCAGTCGTACTCAATCTCTCTATTTTGTACATTATTTGTTTAGCCACTCTACTTTCACCTGCCTGTAGTTGGTCCTTATTTCCTTGTGTAATTTTCTATTTACGAACTTCTTAAGAAAACACCTGCGTTAAGTTTCAGTAGATTCACAATGTCGATTTAAGTAAATATATAATTTTCATACGATATCATATACAGTGTGACCGTTACAATTTGAATACTCTGTTCATATGTACAGATTATGCTTTTTTTATCACTAGAATAAGCGTTATCAGGAGTCTCACCAATTCGATGTACTGCACAAAACCTGACTTTTCTTTCCTGAAAAGAACTTAAAGTGAGTGATATGTTTTTGTGAATTTCAGCTCATGTAAAATTTACTCCAATATTCTAGGACTAAAGCCCATATAATCAAGTAATGGCCGTGAGAGAAATAACCACAGTGTTAGAAAAAAAACATCTTAAAATTACAAGTTTTAATTAAATGCAAACATTTAACGAGGAAAACAGAAAGTCTTCGCCTGCGAAATGAAATAAAAAAATAAATTTTAAAAATATAAACACAGAGTTTAAGATTATAAAACAGAACAATAAATATAAGAATGAAAAAACTGAAATTACGCCTTTTACAATTATTGCCAAATTTAAAAAAAGGAAATCGTCTTTTTATTTGCTATTTGTGCTACGAAGCTATAATAAAATAGCATTTAAAATTGAATCGATCATTGTCGTTCAGTTGAAATGCTTACACGCATCATCAGGAAGATCGTTATGGACTTCTATTGTCGAGTTCTTTGTTCACAAATAGAACTAAAGAAGAACAACGTCGTTCGGATATCTTCCGAAACCGAGTGTCCTAGGAGGTCAACTTGGTGCTGAGTTATTTATACGAGACATTCTGATATAACTAAAATTTACAATCTACATAAACAGGCATTTACTAAGTTTAACTTATTTACAGGGCATTTTTTTCGCTCGGAATATAATCATGATTTAGGGATACGAGTGAAAGAAAAATCAGGAAAGAGATGGAGAAAGAGGTTTGATTGATTTTTTTTTTTTTTTACTTTTGATCAATCTTTTACAGGTTATTTAAAACGAGAAAATCTTTTTAGATTATTAGAATTATTTAAGGATAATAATGATTTACTGATACGATTGCTGGTAATTTATCCATAACTATAGGGAAAAGAGAGGGATCTGTACCATTCCCAACGTTATTTGCGCCTAAGTGAATATAACTAACCCAATGGGAATCGGAACTCGGCTGTCCGTTATTATCTATTATAGCACCCACACATCCAAGTTAACAACACCTGGTATTGCCTAGCGGTCACTCGTTTAGGTACTGAGTAGGCTCGACGTTGCTTATCTTCGGTGATCGTACGGGTGTCTTAAAATGATGTGACAGGAAGTCCGATGTGGGTGGGATGTTAGTAAGTTATGAAAGTTTATCTCGTTAGACGAACAGTATAATCTTAATTTTTTGCACAGAAATAATTTATCATCTTGTTGTCTCTTTCCGCAGGAGGAAAAAAAAATCACCGGAAATGCCTGAAAATAGAGAAGGTTGACTATACGGAGCGTGAAGCAACATGGCGTGTTTTCGACCAGTAGTTCAAAAGTAAGAACTTTTTCAAAGAAATTGCAATCATATACTTCAAAGTTATTTCGATCAATTATTTCTATATAGTTAGGGTATAGTTTTAAATGTACTGTTAATGTTTGCTTGTCTCTTCATACCCACCGTCTCTTTATCCTCTCTCTCTCTCTCTCTCTCTCTACTCTCTCTCCCCCCATTTTAGTAGTTTTTTTTCGTTTACTTAAGTATACCTGCATTTTATACCACGGTAAAATATACTCTCTCTCTCTCTCTCTCTCTCTATCTATCTATCTATCTATCTATCTATCTATCTATCTATCTATCTCCATTCATATTTCTTTCATATAATCCTTAAATGATATGTGTTTACCACTTGCCAATTTTTAATTAGTCAAGTTTAAACCAACGACTTCTTTTTTTTATATTTTGCTTGAAGCCATCGTCTTAGTCGTTATTATAACAAAGAATTTTGCCATTCGGCTCTGAATGTAGAAAAGAACCTAACCTAGTCGATTAAAACATGGTTTCGGAATTTAGTGTATTATATAAGAATAAAGTGTCGCTGTCGACACTTAAATTTGAACATAGATTGCCAGTGAGCAAAAACAGGCGATCCCATTATTGAATTAAGCAGACCACGTGACCATAGAGGAAACGCATATGTAGGAGGTAGCGTGACCTCTAATTGAACACTATTTCTATTCTGTCCTTTATTACTATACGGATTACCATTTCTATTCTATCCACTATTATTATATGGACTGCTATTCTATACTCTTTACACTATACTATTTCTCTATTCAGATCACAATACGTGATACTATTCGAGCTAATATTATCGAGCAAGTACTATTAGTGCGAGTAATATTCGTTCACCGGCGTTACTATAGGTGTAACTGTGATTATAAAGTCTTTACTATAACGAGTATTTACTAAAGTGACAACGAGTATTCGTTGACATTAAAAAAGTGACAATGAGTATTCGTTGACATCACAAAATAGTGATACAGTAATTGTGAGTTTAATCTGTGAACCGGCTAGTGCAGACCTGATTTTATGACATCTTAAGGTCAGAACTGCAGACCTAAAACTGACAGTAACCATGCTGTGTTTATATCTATGTCCACACACCTTAAATATAAACGCTCTATTCCTGATACTGTATATTTTCTCATATAAATATAATAAATTTTCAACAATGTATATTTATGTGTGTGTCAGTGTGTAATCAATCATCTTTGTATGTGTGTCAGTGTGTATGCATGTATGTGTTGTGCATATATATGTCGGAACAAATCTAAGATCGATAAACGTGACGAAACTAATGAGAAAAAAAAAAGGATAGATATCGTCAATGTTTGTTTTTCTCGTATGTATTCGTGGGGAAATCAACATTAAGTTTATTCAAAATCACGACAGTTTCCACTTCATTATACAGTTCTGATACGTAACAAGCGAAGCGGGAAAACTAAGGCTTAAGAAAAGTTATCAAAGACATGAAGCAAAATCCAAATTCTGATGACAAACTACAAGACAGAAAAAAAAACTAAAATGATAACTCAAGGATACAAATTTGTGAAAAACAAACATTAAACAACATATATCGTAAAGGTAAACTCTGAAGATGATACAGTTTTATAAAGATGGATAACGAAATTTGAGAAATATTACGAACATCTGGCATCACGTAGAAAGAAAAACTGACGTAGATATTTTAAACAATATCATCTTGGTTGAGTGAATCGCCATCATTGAACGATACATGTAGAAATATATTCCTACGGACATAGAATTATTAGCCGCTTCCACCTAAGGAAACACCCGGCATTCATTTACCGAGCAATGAGTACTAATTTCTTCTTGAAATTTCTAAAATATTTCTGTTAAAACAGATTTTCCGTGACATCAGTTAGTTATATACCATGCGTGATACACGCTTAGGCGATCATGTATCTTTCGATACATGACTAACGAGGCAGATTTTTTTCTGGGATTAGGTTGCCATTTCTTTCGGCGGTAACCAGTTGCTCTCCACGGATATAGAACCCGACCTGTCCTGCTCTTTACCCATAGCTGGAAGGGAGAAGACGAGGATTCATATATTTCCTAAGTGAAAATAAAATGTGATGGATTGAATTTAATGTAATGACTTCGATTAGAATTCAAACTCGGCTCTCGGAATCGTCAATGCGAGCCGTTATCTTTTATTCCAGCGTGCTTTTGCGGTTAATGTGTACTTTCTTCTTTTCTTTCCAAAAGAATGAATTGTCAAAATCTTGATTAGGCTATTATTTTCCCTTTTGATTTACATGGGAAATCACTTTTAGTTGTTGCTACTGTTGTTGAAAGACCTCAAGTTATGTGTTTTCTGTTATTTGCTACAGGTTTGTTTTTTTTTATTCTGTAGCTCAAATTTTGAAGTTGGATAATCCTCTCGTAGATATAAAGCTTTCATTCGCTGGAAGACATTTAAATCACTCACTTATTTTAGACATTGAATGTATTCAAGTGACAACTTGGATATTTCTGAAAGAGATTTGATTCAATGCATAATATTCATATTAACGCTTTGAGCCTTGGGCAGTGGTATAGAAAAATGACGTAATGCTCAGCCACCGGTTGAATAGTGGTAGAGAATAATGACTTCATGCCCATCTACCGGTTGAACGGGGGGTAAACACTTGAATCGTGTTTTGATATTGACTGTGTTGAAGTGCCAATCAGAAATGCTGTAATATTCTGAAATCATCGAAAGTTGTACCAACATGATCGCGTCATTATATTGTGTTTTGTGTATATGTTTTGGATAAAAATAAAAATAAAAAATTACCATGAAGCGCGCAGAGTCTCAACCAGGACCGTCAGGGAAGCAATCACGGACTATTTTTATATCTACTGTGAAACATTACATAACAATTATTTGCGAATTTTAACTTAGGAGCTCAGGCAGAAAGGTTAAAATTGTTCAGTAACGCAGGGCTTAAAGGGTCAAAGTCTAATAGCAGAACTATTAGAAACATCATTCGAGACTTTAGTTTACTGTTTCCACCTTATATATATATATATATTTATATATATATATATATATATATACAGATTAAATGAGAACAAATGGAGTATAATTCCACTGTCCGTAACATTTAATTTAAAAGTGGGTTCATCATTAGAGAGTAGAGATAAATATGATTTATTTTAGGATACATATTCACTCGTGAGTAACTTACCATCGCTTGAGTTGACACATTTATTGTCTTTAAACATAATTGTAATTGTGTAGCGATTTTTAGAATGTTTTTAATATCCTGAAATTACATATATATATATATATATATATATATATATATATATATATATATATATATATATATATATATATATTCTAGTTACTGCTCTTACTACTTCTTTGAGACTCAACAATTCTCCCGTAACTACTACTACTACTAATAATAACAACAATTAATGATAATGATAATAATAATTAATGATGATGATGATAATAACTATAATAATAATAAGAAGAAGAAGAAGAAGAAGAAGAAGAAGAACAACAACAACAACAACAACAATAACAAGAAAATGCTGCAGCAGGGAAAATATAATTGAAAAAAATAGAAATATCATGCCATGCTCAATTTACTAAAGTGTCAAATCAGTACTCTCAAAATTTCTTGTATGGTGTTGCCCTGTTCTTCTTCTCCTCTCTTGTCAGAGTTCAAAAGCGATTACACAGCCTTGTGGGTGATTAATTATTTTTCGCCTTGCTGACCCGATCCCATAGACGAAACCTTGCTAGCCTCTCATTACTATATCTCTATTGCTACGAAAAATGTTCACACAAGAGACATTCTACAGTTCAGACCTTCATGACGTCATATCAATTATCCTCATTCCCATTGTATTCTTTGCGAAGAAAGAAGTTCCACTCAGAACTGCTCTAGAGTTGTCACTTTATGTTACAGTTTCCCCAAAGCATGGTTCTCCGACCGCTATGATGTTGTCATCTTCATGTCTCGGGTCAGCCATTTTCTATCCTACATATCCCCAAAAACATACAATAATCTCGCTCAGAAACACTCTACATTGATTATCTCTTGAGCCTTGTACCGGATGAACAGTAAAATACAAGAGAGAAATATCGGATTGAAAATCGAAAAGGGATGATAAATAAAAATCATACGTTGCTTGGTGCATATGTTGCATATTAGACATTAAAAGCATCTGAAAACCATATTCGTTTGAGAACGTATGAGCGACCGCCATAATGATAAAATAAATAAGATGAGAAATGTCAAATTATTTACGAAATGACCAAGGCCGAAAAGGAATTAAGTTAGTTTTTATTCTTTCTTTTTTAAGATGGGAGCATTCATTTTACCGTCTGCTGAATATGTCCACATCCTTGTCAGTCCATCCACCCGGAATCGAGTCTTTTGACCTTCTTGATATTTATTAAAACTGACCACAAAGCTATTGTCGTTTTGTCCTCGTCAACAGACCGGCCGCATCACAGCTATTTATTTCAGCCTGTGTTTTATCATATTTGCGCACAATCTGAAGTAGATTCGTAAGAAAGCACTGAATTTTAGGCAAGACAAGAGATGGTTTTGCGTTAAGAGTTTTTTTTTCTTTTCTAGTCGTAGAGGCACTTCAAACTTTGTTTTACTCAGTGAGCAATTACCCGGCTAACAAAATGTCATTGATACATTTCTGTAGCTTCAAATAGAGGTAGCAAAAACGTCTTTTGTAGAGTTCGCGGAACGTTACTTTGGAAACCTGCAAACTCGTTGCATTGTAACATAAGAGAGAATGGATTAGAAATTCCTGGAAAATATGAAAACGTGCATTCATCATCTAAATAATTGATTCCCCGTGAAAAAGTAGAAAGAAAAATTATATCATCCATGGATCTTGTCAAATAAGTAAAAAGTATTACGTTGTTATATTTGAACATTACGAAAGCTTTCATATACAACATTCTGCAACTTGAACATCACATTGTAACAGAATTGAAGAGGAGTACTCTGACGTCTCAGTAAAACTACAATAAGGTCACCACAACGTGATATAGACCCCAAACAAAATACAACGTATCTACAACGTCGTAAGAAAGTTCCGAATTAGGTAACTATACATCAGTCTTTTTGCAACTACACATCTATCTCGCATCAAGTAAATGTTTGGGTTTGTTTCACGGCATATCAATCTCACTGGATTATTTAATGCCGACAAGATTTTAGAATAGGTATATATAAATAGAAAATGTATTCTTTGTAAAAAAGAAATCAGTTTATAGATCACGTATTTTTGTAAATAGTTGTTTTGGTTTTTTGGGTTTTTTTTGCGAGTGT